CACCACTGGCATCTCCTCCTGCTCTGCAAGGCCAGCTTGGGGAAGCAGGGTTTTGCACGGTATCACTGGCAAATTCAAGCTTTGTGGACTAATGCACTTGGTAAAGGAACATCTAGCCTGAAGGGTCAAAATGCTGCTCTCCCCAGCAAGCTCAGCTTTTGCTGCCATGGAGGAAAGCCTGATGGAGGTGGTTTTCTATGAAAAGAGGATCTCTTTGTTCTCAGGAGTTTCACGAGAGTCCCCTCTGCAGGCCAGTGGGGAACAGTAGTGGCCTGGGCGTACCCGCTCCATCCTCCCAGGAGCTCTGGGACGCAGAGCTGCCCTACATGGCTCAGCAGCGTGACACACACCACAGCCGTGACTGCACTGGCACCTGCTGGACATTTTTTTCTCTTAATTTCTCCAAAACACTAATCTCTTCTCTCTGGGTTGAGGCGCTTCTGGAGGTGCATCCCTGCCACATCGGCATCCCGTTCCTTCCATGCTGTCCTGCAGCAGAGCCCATCCAGCAGCTTTTGCTGCAGATGTGAGTACCAGCTGCTCAGACACAGACACACACAAAAATCACAGAAATAATTTCTGTGCCTCGCTTTTGAGAGAAAAGCCAGCAGAGAGAGCCTCATCCCTTCGTGTCACTGTTATGCAGAGATGCAAGAAGACAACTGAGCTCTGGTGTCTTTCCAGCCACTGGTGGGAGATGCATTTATTTTACATTTAAAAAGTGGGGATGTAGAAACTACACAGAGTGAGGAAGAGAGACATTATGTCTAGGGATGAAAATGTTTCATCCTGAGGGCTGCTGAAGGGAAGAGCCATAGAAGGCTGAAGGTTTGCACAGTTTCTACAAGCAGAAGAAGCGTGGCTCAAACAGATATCAAAAATTAAGAGAAACATTTATTCCCACATTAGAAATGTCACAGACGGGATAGGGACATTGAAACAGTTTAGTGCTTAGTCTCACTCGTGCCTTGGTAGCCCCAATGTGTTCCTGAGCTCCAGCTGTCATACAGACATGGTGCTGTCCTGCCCTGGAGATGTGGGAAAGGCTCAGCCAGGTCTCCTGCAGGTGTCCTCCTCCCCTGGGACCGGTGGCGTGCCTGTGAGCTGCTCAGACCCGCCTGTTTCGGGGTGTACCTGAGTTACACTGATCACTCACAGTACATCATGAGGCTGCCCTGCTCATGAGGTCAGCTCCAACAGTAACAGCAAGGCCCAAGAAAGATGGGAAGAAGCCTTTGGCTGGGCAATCACATCCCTTCCCTACTAGGCTCATCCAGACAGGAGGAATGGCTGCAGAGCCACACTCCAGCAAGCTGCTGTACGAGACACTGAATAAAGAAATGCCCTTCCTCCCTCCATTCCTCCTCCCCCTCCCTTCTCTGTCCCTTGTGCTGCTTATGAGAGCTGAAGCTGTTGAGTACTTTAGCACCAGCACCACCCCTCTCTCTGCAGGGCTGCAGCTGAGCACACGTCAGGGCAGTGCGGTGCTGCGAGATGTGCAGGTGGTGGTGTGAGATGTGCACGGGTACAGAGACAGATGCAGACATGAGCAGAGAGGAGAGTGGAACTGCTGCCTGCCTTGCAGTGAGCATGGCCAAAAGATCCAAGGACACCACTCAGCACTGCTCTTTGCTCTCAGCCTAGTTGAATACTTGAGCATTAGGGAACAAGACCCATTTCCTCTACTCCTTATTGTATAGGAAAGGCAGCTGGTTTGCAAAAATTTCTTGCTACACAGATATTTTCACCTTGCTGCGTGCTGCAGTCAAGGTTGGTGCTGACTCAAACACCAAGGGCAATCAATACTTTTGCAATGTCCTGGCAGTCTGTGTTAGGCCAGGGCTGTGTCCTACCTTCCTTCCTTCCTTTTGTCCACCCTCACGTTCTGCACACACCTTCACACCTTCTCTGAACTCAGGCATGTGGAGGATCACAGAGACTGCACATCCTCCAAGGGTGCCAGGTGAAGAAAGGGATGAATGTCTTGGCAATGCGGACCTGCATGCACGTTGCACATTCATTAATGTTAGTGGGAAATCTGCCTGGATATTGGAGCATGGTGAGGAAAAACTGTTTGCTGACACTGTTGTTTGCTTGGTGGTACTTTTTGCTCGCACAGAGCACATCCAACGTGGTTAAGTCTGACCCAGCTGCTGACACCAGCATTACACTGGGTGCCCTGGCTGCTGGAATGCACTTCAAAGCTGCGGGGACACCTGGAGGCCCAGAGAGCTGTGTGGGGTCAGAATGAGGCCCCAGCAGACGCACACGTCAGCAGAGGCTGTAGGAACCCAAATCAGTGTTATTCTCAGGTGGGGATTTCTGTGACCTGTTTCTGTACATTCTGGCATTTCAGCCAAATCAGCAGAAACACAGATTTACCTAGAGCAGAAGCACACTGCTCAGAAGTCATGCATCAGACCTGACACACTACAGCAGCAGCTTTGCTTTGCTCAGTATTACTTGCTTCCTTTAAGGGACATTAACATTTAAGGTATGTTAACCAAATATGAGTATCAGCCCACATATTACAGTGAAACCTGATATATTCAGACTAAAGTTATAATTACCTTTCAACTTCCCAAACTATTTTTAGATTTGGACGAAATAGCTAAAGCCATGGGGTTTTTTCTTCTGTCATGAGGGACCTTTCTGTATCCTCTTTTGGCATAGTCAATTATTTCCATGCTGCTTCATAATTGGTATACATATGTTTGTATATATAATAAGTGTTTTCAAAAGGCTGAAAATAAAACAAGATTCTCCTGGATATGATACAATTAACTTGGGGAGTCAGGCTTGGGGAGTTTCATGTATGCTAATGTAGGCCTATCCCTGCATAGATGCATCCTTCAGCTAAGAGAAGAGTGGGACACAAATACCCTTCATTAACTTTTCTTTTTCCCCTCCCTAAAGTTTTGCCTGGTTCTGACTTCCAGGTGTAGCCAGGTGTTACCACAGCAGAAAGAGCAGAGTTGTGCTGCTGGATGGCAAGGCTCCTCCAGACAGCACCAATTCCTCATCCCCAGACTGCATCCACTGGCCTGAACGAGTAACCTGAAAGTCAGAGATTCTGCCGAGGATTTAGTAAGTTTGAATCCATGTTGCCTTGGGATGGAGGCTTCAGCATAATGCCAGAAAAAAACTGGATATGGACTAGTTTCTCACTCAAGGATACAGTCTTGGGACAAGAGACATGATTACCCACGCTAAAGTGGCAGTCCTGCAGCTCAGAGCTGAGGAAAAATCTGCTAGGTCCCACTTGACACTATTTTCTGAGGGATCTAGCAACACCAGAAGCTGGCATGGTCTCATACATCCCACTTTTTGCTGCTGTAGTTGAATAGCATTGTCCTTAAACATACCCATACCACTGCTGCACATGTTTGCAGTGTGGCAAGTGATGAGCACCCCTGATGCCACTGCAGTGCTCCAGCCTGTCAAGGCCTTTCCATCCAGACATGCAGAGAGCATCATGAGTGGCATCAGACAAGGTCTCCATCTTTCTAAGAGACCCTCTGTAGAAGGGATCCTCTGGTGCAAGTAACACCAGTAAATCAAAAGAAAACAAGTCTGACCTTTAGGTTTAAGCCTAAATGCGGGTAACAGTTACTCTGGTCTCTGTTTTAAGATGATGTGCAGAAGATTACATCTGACTGTTTCGTGTGCCAACATCATCCTAAATCCTCTTTAACCTGCCTCATCTCAGCAAAAAGAAAAAGCAAGATCAGGATATGAAGGTAAGTAGCAGACATGAGCAGGAGCAATACAACAGCTGTGGTGGAAGAGCTGTGGTGGGTACCTTTTATGCAAATAGGTGAACAGGCACTGGGGCTGTGCAGGATGTTTTAGCTTCAGCTTCTTGTGCTCCCTGCTCTTGGGAAAACCCTAGAATTTGGCATTTTCCTCAAGCTGTCTGTCAGCTTGCACAGATACAGGAATATGTCTTCTGCTCTCAATGCCCTCACAGGCACTGGAAGGGCAGCAGACTGCTCCACGCTCATCCCTTCAGAAAGCAGTGGAGCTCTGTGACCTACAGGGGTGTTTCTGGCCACCCAGAGCAACACAGGGCAGCTCTTGCCAGCCAAGCTTGCCAGTCAAGCACTCTCCACATGTGGGTCTCACCTCCCTTTGCACAGGAAGGCAGAAATACCAGTTTAAAGCAGTTGGATAGTGATAAGAAGTTGAGGTAAGGTCCAACTCAGAGCTCCTGGTATTGCTGATAAAACAGAAGCCAGCTGCCTCTGGCAGAAAAACCCTTTAAGCTGCAGAAAGCATCTCCTGCTTTCTTGCTAGAAGGTGTTGAGGCAACAGCAGGGCAGGATGTCCTCCAGTGAGAGCTCGAGAAGTGAAAGACTGCAAAGACTGCTCTGCATGTTTAGGTTACCCTCATGCCACTGGGTTGCAGCCCTTGTGGGGAAGCCCTGGATCACAGCCTCAATCCAACAGCTACATAACAGCAATCAATGAAACCTCCAGGCAGAGGGAGATGTCCCCTAGCAGACATGCTCAGCAATCAGAGAAAGGCCATCATCATCTTGCCAGCTTGGGCAAATGGGCTCCAGCACCTGTCCCAAAGCACTCACACAAGGGGTGCAGGGTGAGGCTGTCGAGGCTGCAGAAATCCTTCCCATCTCTGGTGCTTCAGCTGAGTGAATTGTGCTCTAGAGGGCTCATGCTGTGAATCTCCAGGGGAGAGAGGTGGTGCTGTCCTCTTGCCCACCACCCTTTGGCTTTGCCCTGAATTTTTGTGAAACCCCTTCTAGAGAACCTGAGGGCTTGCATATCCAAGAAAAGCCTGGCTGGCTATAAGTCACCTGGAAGGTAGAGGCTGTACTGCTGAGCCAGCCAGTGATCCTGCTGCTGGGACCCAGGCAGCAGCTAAGCTGAAGAGGAGGCAGAGAAGAGGCAGCTGGAAGGACTACCAGTTGTGTAGATCAGTCCAGGACAGAATAAAATGCAGATGCTGACACAAATAATGATGAAACAGGTTCCTCAAGTGTAAAGACTGTGCTATTACACTTCACAAAGTATCTTTATTATAAAATTTAAAACATGGTGATATCTTGCAGGGAGAAAGAGAACAAAAAGCTTTAGAAAACCATTGCATTTATCTAACAATATTTGCACATATAGAAGTATGTATATGTATATATATGGGCATATCGGTGTGTATTTGTGTATATATACACACAGAGTCAAGTATAGATATGCATGTATGTGTACATAGCTCTATACATATAGATACATATAGATATATCTATACAAATGGGTAGCCATTCACATATATAAAATCGGTCATTCCAAGTTGGAACAGTAACTGGAATGTCAATCCCAGCTGCCTATTCAAGAGCAGTGACCTCACTGGTACACTAGCTACCGTTCAAAAATGTTCAGAAATCCCCTGACAGGGAAGTGTGACAGCTCACACCCACTATTTTTTCCACTCTTCAGCCGTTTTACTGGTAACAATTTCTCCATCCATTCCTACAGCACTCATTCATTCCCGTAGGGGCTGTTCCTTGATGTCCACAGCATCATTTCTAAGCTACAGCTTCAAAGCCTTCCAGTCAAGAAGCTGCAGGCCCTGGTAGCATATGGGGAGTCAGGATCATACATAGATATTAATTCACATTGATTTTACCTAAACACGTAGACAGCATTTATTTCTTGGTTGCTTATCCAATTACTCACTCACTAAGCTCTTCTGGGACTGGAAGCATTGTTCAGATCTGTCAACTGGGAGCCAGGCCCTGGCATGACACCTTAAACTTGGGCCCCATTTCCCTCCAAAGAGCAGGTTCCCACTTCTGCAGCGAGTCCCATCCCTGCTCACAAAGACAACACACTCTGCTGAGACAAGAGAAGGAATGGCCAAGGGTCCAGGGTTTGGAAACATAAACAGTTCTTTTCAATACTGAGTCTGAAGGGGAGATGGTATTTTTCTAAGGTACCTCTCCATGTTGCTCTGGCAGTGGGAGTCTGCTGGTAATTTCACAAAGCAAGCAAGGCAGGATGTGCTGAGAGAAAGGGAGGATATGCTAAAAAAAACCCTAAAAACCTCTAAAAAGTGCGAACACAAAAGCAACCACAATAAAAGCAAAATCAAGCAGCTGCTTCCACTTTTCATGTCCTAAAAGGTTGCTCAAACAGCCCATGTCTGTGGATGCCCAGTTGAGGATTTGTCAGTTTTAGGTCACCTGTCCAGAATTATAGTTTTGGACTTGTAGTTCTACAACACAGTGCCAACAGAAGACAACTGTGAGGACTTTGTGTGCAGAGAGGAGTGCTTGTCCAGGCTGTGCCCACTGAAAGCCCCGTAGCCTTTGCAGTTGGACAGAAAACATGCAGATTTTTTTAAAGCATCACAGAGGTGCTTCTTGAACTTCTCACCCACAAAAGCATAGATGACTGGGTTGAGGCAGCAGTGGACATAGGAGAGTGCCTCAGTCAGCTCCACAGCTAGGTCTAGCCTTTGGCTTGTCTGGCAGTCATTGATGATGTGCATGTTCCTCAGAGAATCCAAAAAGAGCACAATGTTGACAGGGGTCCAGGAGAGAAAGAACAAAATGACAACAATAAAAACCAGTTTTATTGCTTTGTACTTGTTCTTGGTATGGCACTTCTGCAGGTTTTTCAAGATGCTGTGATAGCAGAAAATGAGGACAAAAACAGGTATTAGCCACCCCAGAATGTTGACTTCAAAATTACTGAAAGTCTTCCAGCCATTGCTGCCACTAGGATAATGAGGGAGGCACTTAATCTGGTTATTGTCATTTACTTCTTGGAAAAAAAGTAAGTCTGGTAATGATGCTAAAATGGCAACTACCCAAACAACCAGACTGGTGATAAACCCAATGGCAGCTGTCCGAATCCCTTGCACATGGAGGGAGTGGACTATGGCCAAGTACCTGTCGATGCTCATGATGGTTATGAAGAAGACATTGCTGTAGAAACCAATGAAGTACACTGAGCTGATGATTTTACACAGTGCATTTCCAAAAGTCCACTGGCTTACAACGGAGTACTGAACCAAGAAGGGCAGGGAGAATACCAAGAGGAGGTCAGAGAGAGTCAGATTCAGCAGATACACGTCAGTCATGGTCTTGATTTTCATGAAGACTGTCAGAATCCAAACAACCAAAGCATTTCCCACGAGGCCTGCCACAAACAGTATGGAGTACAGCACTGGAAATAAGGTAGATGCAAATTCTGGAATACCTTCAGGATGACAGATGATGTGTAGTTCTGAGTAGTCAAAGGCATATTCATAGGCTGCAGAGGAGTTAGGTGTTGGTGAGGTGTAACTCATCTGTTCAAGGACAATGAAATTCACATGAGCCAAATCCCACATTAGTAAATATACCAGGCAAGAGTCAGGTCACACCAAGCTGCATGAGGACAAAATAGGGAATAGCCACAAAATAGCCACAAAATAGCCATAGCTGTGGTATAAGACACAAATGAGGAATGAACATGAGTAGCTGGCCATCCCCTGCAAGACCCTGGATGAGATCCTTGCATCACAGGGGCAGAAGAGATCAGGGAAATGCAGCTGTGGTGGTAGAGGTTACCAGCATCCTCCTGCTGGCTCCATGTGGGGCCATGGCCCATGCCCGAGTCCAGGTGGGGTACTGAGGTCAGAGACAGGGAGCATCCTCAAACCAGCAACGACATGAGCATGGCCAGGAGGCTGAGTGCCCCTGATACAGATTTTGGGGTCCTATTTTATGTTTCCTTCTGAAAGGAGAAAGGGAGCATAACCCAGGGAGAAACTGACATGTTAACACTCATCTCCTAAAAGTTTCCAGTTAGCTGAGTGCCAGAAATGGGATGCACCAGCAGCAGTGACATGCCCCCTTCCTGCTCACCAGCCCCTCGCAGCTTGCCCACTCCCAGCAGCAGCCACCACATCCCTAGGCAGTACTTGTGACAGCAAACAATTAAAGAAGGTGGACAGCAGCATCACTGTCAGGATGTCCTCCATAGGACACTACCTCTGCCCTCAAGGACATTCTTCTTCCACAAGCACAGTGTCATCAGCTAAAGATATATTCACCCTGTGTTTTGGTTTCTTTCCAGAGAACAACAATCACACTGATTTATTTTAAATGCCCATCATCTCCACCAGTACTGTGTCTCCATAGGAAAAACTGTAAGATGTGCTACTGACCCCAGCTTGCAGGAGAGCAACCCGGCAGGGAGTGACTCACCAACATGTCCTCAGAGCCACTGCTTCCCAGCAGGTCTGTCAAATTCTGCTCCATAATCCAACAGTGTCTGAAAGAGTGCAAAAAAACTGTCTTTATATAATGTATTTTTAAGAAGCAGGCATACCTTTGTGCATATAGGCTGGCAATATTTACCTTAGCTTATGTTGCAATGCCAAGTTGCAGATAAGGTCCTTACTGTAGCAGTGCACAGTTCCAGAAGAGCTTTTCCTCTGTGTGACCTGTGTTACATTAAAGATGTATGAAACCCCAAGCCAGAGAGTTCACCCTCTGTACTTAACACCTACAGGACGGAAGTGTCAGCTTTATCTTATGTATGATCACAAAGTTTTCATTCTGAGCACTTACGTTCTCCAGTGGAAGAGATTTGCAATCTCCTCCACGTCTTTGAAATGTTTCTCTCTCCCACCTGCATGCCCTGCACCTGCTGTCCCTCTCTGCAGTTCTGATGTCTAGGAGAGAAAAAGTAGTGCTGTCTCTGCCCTGCTCCAAGGACTTTTGGTGAAGATGGCTGAGGGGGATGGTCCAATGCTGCCAATAGCCAGCGATGGCAAAGGGCCGCATGGTTGCTTTAACATTTCATTTTTCCTTGGAAGGCACCTTCCCCCCGTACCCACCCAAGCACAGGCAGGAATACCTAAGGCCTCATCCAGACCCAACACAGCTTCCATCCCACAGCTCCTATCTTCCCCACAATACAAGAAACAGGGGAAAGAGCAGCCCTACTAAGCAACAGGCAACATTTGAAGTGTGTGTATCTCCTTAAATACTGCTGCTTGGTGTCATTACTGGAACTCAGGCAAGTCGTGTTGCATTTATAAACAGACAGAACTCAGTTTCCTCAAGCAGAAAAAGACAATTCTTTACTAACATAATTCATTTTTATACAGTTTTCACAGACCTTGTGTTCAACTCCAATTGGCTACTAGTTTTCTTGCCACTCAATTAATTGGTTAGAAACTTGCATTTTTCCTTTCCATCAAATCTCTCTATTCTTGGATTGTTGATGTATTTTCTTCACTGACTCTCATGGGACAGATCTATTGTTTATGCAGGTGCAAACTGATTTTTCTTATTAAAATAGGTTGTAGTGTTAACTGTCTTCATTCTTATGACTTTTCCTTATGGGAACTTACAAGCTACTGCTAGCTTAACTAGAGTAGCAGGGCCTAAACCATATTTAATAAGACCTTTCTTTTATAATATTTCTACCTGTCTGCAATAAGTCACATCACCTTTTTGTTCGTTTTTGAACAAACAGCACCTCATTGGACATCAGTCCATAGATGTGTTGCTAGAATCCTCATGTGGAATGGTCTCAAGCCCTTTGAATGTCCACCTTCACTCACCATTGCTCCAAAGGCAGAGCGATAAATTTCTGTGAACCAAGAAAATCTGCAACTATTGCATGTGTAGCAGTGGATAGCTTTCCTTGGCCATGGTGGGCAGTGTGGTATTAGGTCAAAGTTTTTCGTGCGAGTCAAGCCATGACAGCCAAGCTTTGCTGGGTATTAACTCTTACAAATCCTGAAACTAGGAATTAAAACCAGAAGCAAACTCTTCTGTTACAGGCAGTGCTACTGGCAGTTGCTGGCAGTGCTGAAGCTTGATCTCCACTGCCCTAATGCAGGATTTAAAAGGCACGCACAACTCTGTTGGTGCTAAAGTGGCAAAGAAAACGATCAGGAATTATTCAATGTGGAAAAAGATGTGTCCACCAAATGGGAATTTGGCAGCTCCGCGCCTCTCATCTTTCATCTCCTAAATAGATGACAGGCTATCAGAGCACAAGGACAGCGACATGAAGGGACGCGGCTCCCTCTGCTGGGCATTCCTGCAGAACTGAGGCACATCCCTGCAGAGCAGCGCTGTTTCACCTCCTCATTCATCACGAGGCATATTTTAAGGAAGAAAACACTGCCATAGCAAGATAAATACCTGGAGACTGCTGTTGCTGCCAGGTTTTCATGCTGGATGAGCTCTTTCTCGGGATGCATGCCATTTGGCCAACATTGTTGCAGCCCATTTTGCTTCAGAAAACTACAAAAATGTCAATTGTTGCTCCACGCAAAGATATGAAGGGAGAGAATCCAGCCACACCATCCCCAGTTCCCTATACAAACATTTCAAATGCATCACTTGAGTTTGTCGGCCTTACTAGAGTTAAGCTTACTCCTCTAAACAGCCAGAAACACGCCAAAGGAAATAGCCAAAGGGACTTTTTCAAAATGACACATATATCCCAGAGAGCTTCCTTATATAATCAATTGTATCACAGATGATGATGCATTGGGTTTACAAGGAAAGGTTTTGGTAGCAAGGGGGCTGCATGGCTGCCTGATGTGAGAAGATCCAGAATCTGCCACCCCTGTGGTGGCAGTAGCCAGTTCCAGCTGACTCCAAGATGACCCTGCCGCTGGTCAAAGCTGAGCTCACTGGTAATATTGGTAGTGCCTCTGTGATTCAGAAACACTGTGCAGGAGCAGCTGTGAGAGAGTGAGAATACGTGAGAGAAATCCCCTGCAGAGTCCACAGTAAGGGAAGATGGAGGGGAAGGAAGAGCTCCAGGCAGTGGAGCAGAGATTCCCATGCAGCCTGGGATGATGCATGTTGTCCCTGTGTTGGCGCACAGTGGGGAAAGAAGCACTTGGAGGGAAGGGGACAAGCTGATCTTCTTTTCCATGAGTCAACAGAAAAAGTTAGTTAATGAAATAAATGGCAGTCACTCATCCAAGGAGGGAACTGCTTAGCAAGAGAGGAGCTTGCCAAAGGGAAGAGGGAGTCCAAAATGAAGTGCTTTTTCTAGCCTGTGTGTTAGGCTAGCAAAATCACTTCATTTTTTTCAGAGAAAGTATGAGAAGTATGTTCTCTCAGAGAAGTATGTTCTCTCCTTCTTCAGAGGCTGCCACAAGGGAAAGCGAGCACAGGTGAGGAAGTGGTTTGTGTATAATGGCTATTGAGGCACACAGGGTTGTCTTTCTAGGAACACCTGGAGCATGATGTTCTGGACATATCATTCCTTACTTGGCCGAGGCACAGCAGGCAGGCAATTCTTGGAAAAGCAGCTTGCCAAAGCCGCAGCTTGCTCCTCCCAGCTCCTGCGGTTTTGTTGTTGATAAGCAGTGTCTGGCTCTGCAGGCACAGCGAAGCCACAGTCTCAGGGCTGGCACAGTTCTAATATTGAAACACTTCATTTTGGTGCCTCACTTCTTCAATGCTGTGGAAAGCCAGCCTTCCTCTGCTCTGGGCCCAGGATGTGGATGAGCAAGTGGAAACATTAGAGATAGAGGTAAGGACATGTCAGTGTGCATCTCAGGTTTCTGAACAACACAGTATCCATAGGAAGCTGGTTTTGTGGAGAAGTGGGAGGTGTGAACTGAAGGAAGACATGATGCCAGTTCATTCTGGCATTATGAACTGACCCTTCCCACTGCCTACGTCTGACAGAGAGCGCTGGGGCGCAGTTGCTGGATACAGCACACAGTGCTGGAATATAGAGTACAGTTGGTGGAACTGCGTAAATTCTGCTGACCCCAACTTCAGGCCATGGAACTGTTGGAGAATGACCAGATGAGGCCACAAAGTTGATCAGAGGACTGGAGCACCTGAAGACAGGCTGAGAGCACTGGGGATGTTCAGCTTGGAGAAGAAAAGGTTGTGTGGAGATCCCATAGAAGCCTTCCAGTATATGGAGAGGACCTACAGGGAAGCCAGAGAGGGACTCTTCATTGGGAACTGCAGTGATAGAATAGGGAATAGTGAGCATAAATTGAAAGAGAGGAAATTTAGCTTTGGTATTAGGAAGAATTTTTTTTTTTTTTTTTCTGTGAGGGTGGTGAGACACTGGAACAGGTTGTCCAGAGAAGCTGTCGATGCCCCACAGGTGGCAGTGTTCAAAGCCACACTGGATGGAGCCTTGAGCAGTGTGGTCCAGCGGGAGGCGTCCCTTCCCGTAGCACGGGGGCTGCAGCTAGATCTGAATCTCAAAGATTCATTTCAGCCCCTTACCGTTCTACGATTCTGTGTAGAACGTCCACAAGCCGTGACAAACACACAACCCGGGGGCAGAGGCCGCTGGAGAGGACCGGGTTGGGGGCGGGGGGCCGCCGTTCGCCCCGGGCCGCGGCGGAGCGAGGCGGCGACGGGCGAAAATCTACGGCAGCCGCCTGCGCCGGGCGGGGCGGGGCTGCGAGCGGGGCTGGCTCCGGGCCGGCCGGTGCTCCGGGCGGGCGGTGCTCCGGGCGGGCGGTGCTCCGGGCGGGGCGGAGCTGCGGGCGGGGCTGGCTCGGGGCCGGGCGGTGCTCCGGGCGGGGCGGTGCTCTGGGCGGGGCTGGCTCGGGGCCGGGCCTCGCCACCGCCCAGCGCGCTCCGGGGCAGCGGGCGGCGCTGGGATGCCGGGCCGTGAGGCGGAGGTACGGCCGCGCCGGACTGGGCCAGGGAGCTGCGCCCGGGCCCTCCTCGCTGCTCCGCCGGGAGAGACCGGGGCGAGGGGGGCTCGCTGCACCCCCTGCGCTGCTGCGTCGTGTTCCGCGGCCTCGGGGCGGCGGGGGCACGGGGGGACGGGTCCGGCCCCGTGATGGTGGGTCCGGGCGGACCTCGCGGGGAGCATTGCTGGCTCGGAGTGTGTCCCTCACTGCTTCTGATCCGTCCGTGCTTTCTAGTCTGTTGTGATTCTGCTGCGCCGAGGGGCTCAGAAACTCGTTCTTGATTAGCAAACACCGTTATATGTTTATGATAATACAAACCCTCTCTAAACACCTAAAAACCTTCACCCTGCCGTGGGCTGTGTGCCTCCTGCCGTGTTGTTTCTCGAGAGGTGCCGGGCGGCCGCAGCCGCTGTGGGCAGCAAAGGCAGCCTCAGCTGAGCAGGCCTGCGGTGCTTTGGAGCGCCTTAGGGGCTGGGCTGGGCTCCCCGGCATTGCCCGTGGCAGCGGGGAGACCCTGGGGAGCAGGTGGGACGGAAGGGTTGGAGGTGCTGCCAGCAGAGGTGGATGGGACTGCGGCAAAGGTACAGGTAAGTAGTGAGAAGGGGACACCTATTTCCTTTGTCGTGGCAAAGGGTAAACAAATGGCTACTAGTACATTTGATGTTCAGAAAACTTACCGACCACCGAATTTAAAGGAGATTCTGGAACAGTCTCCCAGAAAAAGCAGAGAACCCAAAAACCACAAATAAAACTTGATCAGCCTCAGAAATGGCCTGGAAAATTTTCCAGTACCCTAAGCAGCTGTCCTTAACATCTGGGGTCCCCACACCTTCCTTCCAATAGCATGTGACGTATCAGCTGAAATATTTCCTCTTGTGCCATTTTTAATTAAATGACCATTTAAAGTTCTGTTCTTCCTCTTCCAGATGCATCCAGTCCTAAAGGCCTTTGTGTGTGGCTCCATCAGTGGCACTTGTTCCACACTCCTCTTCCAACCCCTTGACCTGCTGAAAACCCGCCTGCAAACTCTGCAGCCTGCTGTGAATGGGTGAGAGGAGGGGGCTGTGTCTGCCTGGGGGTCCTGGAGGTGCTCTGCCTAGGCTTCTGCCTTATTTGCTGCCTGGGACTTGGAGTTCAGAGTTGTAATTTGGGAAATCAGTCTTTGTAAAAGAGGAGGTATGGTTTATATTATGGAGAAGGACTGTTATTTTGCTCCAGAAGAACAAAAGTGCCTGTGAGTGGTTGTGAATGCTGTTGGAATAACTTGTAACCTCAACATTTGTTCTCATCTGAGATACTGGTGTTTGCTGGAGTGGCTACCATGCAGTTTCATGGGGTATCCTCTGCCTGAAAAAAATCCTGTATAGTTGTCAGAAAATTTTTCATGGGTGCAGCTTGGTGTAGTCAACCAACAATCTGCTGCTGCTAACAAAGAGAGTGAGCGACTAAAAATGCTAATAGGTGTTACAAGTTGGTTACAGAAGGTCATAGAGAAGCCCTGGAAAGAGCAACCAAGAAAAGCAGACTGAGATGAGGAAGAGCATCTCTCAGGTGTTCTTGGAGTTCATGCACCTTGGAGTTCATGCACAGAGATATGAGTGAAAGGGGTGGCTGTGGAGTACATCTGCCAAGGAGCAGAAGCAGGTCATTTCTTCAGTTCCTGTCTTGTCTTTCTTTCAGGTCTGGTCGCGCTGGGATGGTGACGCTGCTCTTTAGGGTTGTTCGTACTGAGAGTATTCTGGGGCTCTGGAAAGGTGTCTCTCCAGTAAGTGTCTGGTTTAATTCTGACTTGTAAAAATAAGCAAATAAATAAGCTTACTGTTTATTGCTAATTATGTCTGCCTGAATTTAAATAGCCAACTCTTGTACAATTATGAGTGAACCAACATGATTTAGATTACATCCTATTTTAAGGATGAATTGAATTGAATTTCACTGATTTGGTTATGGCAGTCCTGAGCAGCTGAACATTTGAATACTTTTGCAAATGTGGTGTGGCAACTGCAGGAAGTTCATTTCGGTTTGGGATATCCTGTTCCTAGAAAATTGACATTGAGGAATGCAGTAAATCCTGGTATAATTTGAATGATTTGTCTGTCAGTGCCATAAAAGATTTCTACCTTATCTTCTTTCCTTGGCATGTTAGCTTTAGTGATATTTTTATCTTCTACAAAGCTTCCTATCAAGTTGAACAGTCTCAGAAATGTTTTGTAGTATATTTTGTCTTATGTAAGCTTTTTTTTCTTCATCTGCTTCTGTTTCTCCTGAAGTCCTTTGCAAGATGCATTCCTGGGGTTGGGATTTACTTCAGCACATTGTACATGATGAAGCAAAAGTTTCTTGTGGACCGTTCACCCACAGCCCTGGAGTCTGTCTTCCTGGGTGCCGCTGCTCGTGCAGTTTCTGGGATTTGCATGTTGCCAGTGACTGTAGTGAAGACCCGATATGAGGTATGAGTTTCCAATTAGTCCCCTGTTAATGGTGTCACACACCTTCCTTGTGATGCAAAATAAGTCCTTCTGCCTGGAGAAGGTTGCTGCCACTTGGGTACCACCAGGAATGTAGTCCTGATTTCACCTCAGTTCACGCATTGTGCAGGAAATGAAATTTTGGCAAGAAGATGAAATAGAATTCACCTTAAGATTTGTAAGTTTCAATTGTATACAATGTTTGTGTACCATCTTTCATATGTTACCTTCCTGAAGGATTAGTTTAAAGGCTGAGGTAGGTGAAACCCAATTTTTGCCTTGGGTTGTCCTCTGAGTTGCCATCTTGGGCATCACATTAAGTTCACACGACCATTTGTTGGGATATTATATCCTCAGGGTGTGTGTAGGGCTCCTCAATGTGTGTCTGGCATGTGGATGATTGACCTTTGTCTGCTCTTGCAGAGTGGAAGATTTGGCTATGGGAGTGTGTATGGAGCCCTGAAGAGTATCTATCAGACCGAGGGGGCTCGTGGCATGTTCAGTGGGCTCACAGCAACGCTGCTGCGGGATGCGCCCTTCTCTGGCATCTACCTGATGTTCTACACACAGACCAAAAACCTCACACCTCAGGGTGAGGCTGAATGTTGCATGCTGGAGTGGAAAATGTTCCTCTTCTCAGATCCTGCCCTGCAGCTGACAGCCTGCATGCTATGCTTGTTGCCCTCCACCTCAGAAGTTAAATTAGTCTCCTGTAGGGCTTTGGGTTGCTCACTCACATTTGCCTGTGGAGAACTGTAGACCAATAGCTGAGGTCAGAGCAGAAATGGAGACTGGGTCTAAATTGATTGATTGTCTTCATGAAGACTGATGCATAACTGGGTTAGTGAACAGTTGAAAGACAGGGTGTCTTAAGCAATGCTTGCTGCTTCTGCTTGTCTTGCATACTGCTCAGTTTCCACTAAACTGGGGCTTCTCTGATATTGGAACTCACTGGGGCAGCTCTTGTACAATTTTTTCTTTTCTGATTTTCTGTCAAATTCAGTTCCCCAGCACGTTTGACTTTTCAATAGTGCTAACTTCTGACTAGAAGCCACTTTTGCCCTTGAAATTTGGTTTCTCTAGCTGCATGGATTTTAATATCTCTTAGGCTCTGATGTTGATTTAATCATTCAAAAGCTTTCACTTTGTCATGCAGCATAAGTGTAGCTGTCCTGAATGGTGTCTGAGTGTGTTCCCTTTGCTCTGTTGCAGACCAGATGGATCCAGTGCTTGTGCCCTTGCTGAATTTTGGCTGTGGGATCTTTGCAGGGATCTTGGCCTCTTTGGCAACACAGCCTGCTGATGTTGTCAAAACACACATGCAGCTGTCACCCCAAAAGTACCACAGGACAAGCCAGGCCATTGCCTTTATCTACAAGGTGAGGTGAATCCCTTTTGACATGCACGACCTCATCCTCAGTTCTGACCCCTTTGCTCAAAACACAGCTTTGCTGGGTAAGTTGTTGCCTTTTAAAGGAGGTGGACAAGTGTCAGTGCTTCATCTGCTCTTGCAGTTGGACAATTCAGTGTCAGCATTTTCAGGATGATGAAGGGCGTCATGCTGTGGTAGACCAAGTGTGCAGTGCAAAATGCTGGTTTCAGATACAAAACAGCTATAAAATAATTCTTTGCTCTCTAGACATCAGAAGAGAAATAAATCTCCAGGTCCTAATTGCAGGAATGGGATGGAGAAGTAGTCAAAGCACACCTTTCCTGTCCTGCTGTCAGAAGGGCAGATCTTGGCAGATTCAGTCTGTTTCCATATTGAACTCTATTCCTAAGTAGTAATCTGTTTATTTGCATATGCATTTTTGTGTACCTTTTTTCCTCAAATCATAATGGTTTTTGCTTCAATACTTAGAAATCTCAGAATAGCTGAGAGACATTTATAAATATGAAGCTCTAAAAGAAAGACTAGTCATTTTTCTTTAGTGTCTGGAAATGATTACACCCTTGCCTTTTCTTTGTTGGACTTGCGTCTGGCTGTCCCCATCCGTTGTCTCCATCTTGGCCTTCCTTTTTTCCACTCCCTGCTCTTCCTGCTTTTCTGGGTAGCCCTGCAATAGTACAGTGCCCTGCAATAGTACAATGCTAGTACAGGTTCTTCCTAAACGCTATTTAAGCCGAGGTCTTTCAGAGACTGATCCAGGTTTGAGGTGAAATACATCCTGTGCTCTTCCATGTAATATATGATGAGAAATTAAAACCCTTTAGGCAGATTGGGATTAATTGCTGTTTGTCTTCTGTTGCAGGACTTTGGGCTGGTTGGCTTTTTCCGAGGTGGTGTGCCCCGAGTTCTCAGGCGCACTCTCATGGCAGCAATGGCATGGACGGTGTATGAACAGATGATGGAAAAAATGGGCTTGAAATCCTGACTGAGTTGCATGAGAAAGGACCAGCTTCGCTCCTTCTCCTGCTTGTGATCAACTGGCACTGAGAAGTTCCCAGTTCCACAGAGGAATAAGCCTTCCTCAGCCTGGAGGAAAAAAGCCCTTCTGAGACCCAGTATTAGGCCTTTTGGCATGTAGAGGAAAGGAGGGATTGGATCTTTACATTGTTTGATCAATGCATTCCAGAAGGACTGCACTTGCAGACTGCCGTGGGAAATGGCAAGGTTTTCACAGCCTGGTAACTATGCTGAGAAGCCCCTTTTAAAAATAACTCTGTGCTCACCACCTTTATGCAATGAGACAATATTAGAGCAAAAGTGTTTGAGGAGAAAGCAGTGATGGCAGAACCTGCTAGCCTGTTCCTTGTGGGCGTAGCCAGAAAGGCCACAGTGACCACCATCTGATGTAAATCCTTCTTCTTTATATGCTTTATTCACACAGGGGAACACTGGACCCTGCTGGGAAACTGGATGTGTCTCGTGATACTTATATTGCAGGAGTGGGTGGAAGAGAAATGAAGTGCAGGGGAAAAGCTACAAGCATGGTCTCTGCCATCACTTTTGTACTGTGGGTGATCGCAGAGAAAGTAACTGGAACCTCCTTGCTGTGTTATGTGTTACTGTGTTATTGAGCACCTTAACACTCTTGAAATTTCTGCCTCTACAGCAGAGTTTGCACAGGAACTAAGAAGCATAAGGCACTTTAGAATTGATTGCTGCCAAAGTTCTACTTGTTCTCTTAAAAAAAAAAAAAGCTGCTGGTCTAACTACAGCAGGAGCACTCAAGTGGTTTTGTTGGGGTTTTTTATGCAGTTGTCATAAAGACTTACTTGCTTCCTATTCTTTATTTGTTAATCCCTGATCAACACCCTCAGTGTGAACTGATCCATAGAGGTAGCTTTTAGAGCCATGACTCATAATGCATTTATGTATAATGGAAACAGATACAGATACTGGCACTTCAAATTTCCCTTAAAACATTGCTGATTTCATGTGGAGTATGTTTTGGTTTGGAAAGAAAAAGTTGCTATTTCTGTAAGCTTTCTCCAAAGTTTGAGCCCTGTGGGTACATGGTAGTGACCTATAATTCCCTTAGGGCTCCACACAGACTCTTCTCATTTTCCTGGCTGATCCTTTTCTCTTATCACGTAGTCCATGTTCGAGTATGCCCGAGTTTAAATACACTTTTCATCCTCTGTGCCTTCTTACTCTTTCTTACTGTGTTACTCAGACCTCACAGTGTGTGCCAGGTGCAGCTTGATTCCCCCCTTCACTTGTGCCTCTGTGATGGGTTGGATCCCTTGCAGCTCTGTTAGCATAGGCGTGAAGCTGGCGTGGAAGTGTGCATCGTGTTCTGTACTGTGCCTTGCAGAAGACTTAGCTTTGGCTTTTATTTTCTTAAATATCTAGGCATATTGCAGTTCACTTTAGAACCAGAGCACCTGTCTCTAAACATGAAGAGATGACACTGTAGCTGTATGAACAACCAGTGCTACCTACCTGTTGTTCATAAATTTTAGAGTGTATTTTGGGCAATCACTGCCTGCCCAGACAGCTTCCCGAGCGCAAGAACAGAGGGGATGTGGATTGTTAAAGTGCTGCCTGTTTTCAGACTCAGCCCATCTGCGAGGGGAGGTTGGTGCTCTCCCATGCAGGAGTCTCCAAAATTGGTGGTGGAGGATTCTGTGTGCACGTCTACGTGTTAGCAACAGAGCACTGCATCAAATCAGGCACATGGCACATTATTTGCTAAATCCTAAATGTGAACACCTGTTCCTTTCTTTTGCTGTTCCTTCTGCCCTTAGTGACCAGAACTTGTGAGAGTGCCTGAAACCGTGGTAACTGCACATCCTGCTTGTTTGCCATCCTGAGCATTACTGACACAGAGCTGGAGAACCGAGTCTAGGACTGATGACCTGGCAGAATAAGGTGGCAATTAGATGAGTTACCTCATTTGTCCTTTATTCCCCTGTGTATACACCAACATTGTGCTGGGAGCCTGAATTAACTTGGTGCTTTATGAATCTGGCATGTGAGTTGGATCTGTTGATCGTCCTGGGCTGTGGTAGCCAAGGGCAGTGTGTGGGGTCACCTGCAAGGTGCTTCTCACATATTTTGTTGCTGGTTTAGCAATGGCAAACTTGTTTAGCAGTGTGCAACTAATGCAGACAGAAATTTAAGCTCTTAAAAATGAGGCAGGCAAGCAAAGAATGTGAGGTAATCTGGAATTAAGGTCCTCATCAGAAACCTGAATTTCAAGAACACTTTGGTGGCTTTTATGTCCCTGTACTCCTGCCTGGTCAAGTAACGAAGGAAGAAGTAGAGAGTTTATTCCCATTTGTTAATGTTTTAAGTTCTGCTGTGGGATTTTTTTGTTTGCTTTAAATCTGGAATCAGGCCTAAAGCAGTGTTATCTTTTACTTTGGGAAAGCTTTTTCATTCGGCTTTGGTGCTTTGTTATTGGAGTAGAATGAAAAGCTATATGATTTTTGGCTTGTGGATTAACCTGGGCTCCTCTGGGTTTAAGAAACAGAGAATCTAAATTGCACTGTGTTTCATCTACCATTTGTGCTGCAAATCCAAAAGCTTATCTACCTGTGAGTTGGAGAGAATGAATTCTGTAGTGCAAGCTTTTTGGTTTTTTTTTTCTTTTTTTTTTTTTGTTGTTGTTGTTTTTGTTGTTTCTTTTGTTGGGCGTCATATATGGGGGAAGGGAAAGTCTGAAGTTCTGCTTCACTCTGTTCTGAAAGCTTTATCACATGGTCAGGCATAAGACTGTTTCTCAGCTCTGGTCCTTACTGTCCTTCACCCTTTTCTCCTCTTCAAAAACATTCTGTTCCTGAAGTGATTTATTAAAGTTACTCCTTGATAGCTGTAGCAAGTCAAGACAATCAAGTGCATGGACTTGAAGTTTATGTGTATTCCCCTTGAGGTTTAATGTTTCTACATAACAACAAATTGTCCCTGTACAGCCTAAAGGTAAAGTAAATCAAATAAAAGATCTGGACAGAGGTGCTTAATCACCTACCTACATCATGCCAGCAATTCAACACTAGCAATCTTGTCAGATAATCATTTCCAAAGCCATCTTGGTTTGGATTCTGGAGACAGTGGTGTGCAATCCTGCACTTCAGGATTGCAAGTCCCTCTTGGACTGACCTCTGTTGCTGGCAATGCATTGTTAGTGATTGTGCACTGTCTCTGCTTGCCCCTGCAGCTGTGGCTAAGAACACAGCTGGCTGGCATGTTGAGGCAGCCGTGTTTAAGTGAGTTGAAAGGACACAAGAGAAATAGTCTGATTATTCATGCTTTAGAAACTTTATGTTTCCACTATTCCTGTGTGATGATTTGTTTGGTTGTTTTTTTTTTTTTTTCCCTCCAAGTCTCTTAAACAGAACTGGAGCTTTGGAACATTGTGTAGCTTTGAGTATTGTGAATGCTTATGTGTCTGTATAAAATATTTATGTGAAAAGGTGTATTATATGTTTCTATTAAAAGCTGGTTGCTAAAATTAAGGATGTAATCTCTTCAGTGTTTTTTTTTTTTTTTTAAACCCACATAGACAAGCCCCAAACTGATTAAATGCACAAGGGATTGGATGGAGTAGAGGCTTAAGAAGGCAAAAGGAGTTTCCCAAGAAGACTGTTGCATGTGTTCAGAGCCCATAAAAGGCAAGGAATATTCTCTTTTTCTGTGGTGTATGATATGCACAGGTTGTGCTAGTACAAAATCAACTTTGCTTAAATGGAAAAACCAGACAGCACTGGGGAATGTTGTGTTTTACTCAGCTTCCTCTGCCTGCTTGCTGTGTGTAAAGACAGATGGCTGTTGAATCCCTGTACTAGCTGGTGAAATACCTGCCTTCAGGACAGTGGGGTTTTAAACTCTCTGGGGAGAAACTGTTTTTAGTCTCCTGCTGATCAGGTTTTTGCTACACAGGCAATCTGATCTCAGCAGGGGACCAGAAATTGTGCCTGGGACACAATTGTCTCCTGCAAGGCATAATGCAAGGGAATGCTGGATTGCTGGTATCTTCTCTTGCTGTCACAGTATGGTCCTGGGATTCAGTAGCAGGCAGATTGTGTTCTGAAAAATGTTGTTGATACAGATGTGAAGATCCCAAGCCTTTTTTCTTGCCTACATAATACATTCTCACATGGAGCAATTTTCATAGAGGGTTATGTGTGTATAAGAGACCTACCAGACAGTACCGAGGTGCAGCCTTGTGCCAGCTGGACCTGAATTGCTTGTGCAGGTTCCTGGTAGCAAGTTAGGCCTGGGACAGTGCCTGCTCCTGCACACAGGACTCTGCAGAGCTCTCCTGCTGCCTTGAAAAACCACCTCCTCTGTAGTGGGTGTTGCCATCCATGCTGCTGACAGCTGCCCCAGCTGTGAGGAGATAGCAGACAAGCTCCCTAACCCTTCTGGATGGTAGAAGGTAGGGAAGATTGAAAGTTTAAAGGCACTGTGGTTGTAAGAAAACATTGAGTTACAGATCTCCCTTCCTCATTAAAAATGGGCAAATGCTTTGCTTGCTTTTTTAATTTTAATGAGTTTTGTGCCACATGTAAGCAGTGATGCCAGAATTGAGCAGAAAAGATTCCTCATCCCACACAGGCACATATATATGTGTACTCTTGTGAACTCCATGTGGGTTCCTTGAATATGCTTATCTGTTCTCTTCTGCTATTTCAAAATAGCAGGCTGATTTTCTGCATTTGCAGTTTCTTAACTTGTGATTTTATCACCATAAAATGTTTTAGGAGTTTTTATCATAATGCATTAAGGAGTTTTAGTAAAAAGGACAAAATCCCACTAAGAGGTTAAAATGAGACCTCTGCAAGTTTGTAGCAGGTATTAGGCAATTCTAACTTTGTACAACTATAAATAAATTTGCCAAAATACGTTTTCCCAAAACATGTAAGAAGTAATAACAAACCTTTGAAACACAAGCCAAAATGGAATTTACAAGGAAAGCACAGTAACATTAGTGCAGTTTCACTGAAAGTGGGTTATCTTCATAGTTCTTCTTTGCCTTCTCCAGGGGTGCCACACCATCTCTTGGGTGACACCCACTGTCATGTTTGGTGGGGAAGATATTGCCTGAAGCTTTCTGCCTGAGCCTCTTGCCCAGGCACACAACCCAACCCCCTCATGGCAGGAGCTGTTCTGGCAGCACAGAACGCCTCCTCTACAGCCCTGTGAGGAGCCCTCTCTCCCAGCACTGGGTCCTGGTACAGCCCCCTGCTCAGAGGCTTCTGGCCAGGGCTGCTGCTCTGCTGCAGCCTGGGCTGGCTCTCTGGGAGATACCCTTTCTGGGGCTTTGCAACCATCCCAGGCACCTACTTGAGGTCCTCAGTGTAGCACCCAAAGGCTGGTGGTAGCTCTGTGATGCTTTTCTCTGCACCTGTGGGCTCCGAGTCTCCCTAGCACTTCAGGAGGACCGGTGCCTCAAAGCTGCCTTTCCTGGCTTTGCTGCTGCAGAGCAAGGCTATTCCCAGGGGCTGCCAGCAGCTTGCATGTAATTGTGTAACAGAGTTCAGTGTGAACTTTAGACCAGGGAAACTTTGTGTAAAACGTGATAAGATAGATACACTTTCACTTGAGGGACACGTCCATTAGTAACAGATCTACTTCAAATTGTTTGTTACACAGATAAAAAAATAAAGGCAAGCTTTCAGGTTATTTAAGGAAATAATTAAAAATACTTTATTGTTAAGCTTCATCACCACTTTTCCAAGCCCTCTCTTGGGCTGTGGGCCCATAAGTGTAACAATAAAAAATAAATGAAGTATTAGTGATGCTAGAGGAGTCTATAACACTTACCAGTGGCACTTTTTCGATAACATCATACGCACTGCAATATTCAATACTTAATTTCCAATAATTAAATTCAAATACATTTTTCATACAGATGGGTTTCAATTGTGAAGAAGAGCTCTCTAGGCCACGTCTCCTCTTCCTTCCCAAGATAATATTCACCCTGCTCCTGTCTCCTTAGGAGGGACAAAGTTTGTACACAGCCCCGTCAGGTCAGCTCTCACTATCCACAGTGCACTTATCGAAGTGCCACAGGTGTCTGTAATCTCTTAGGCAATAATAGTTCACACTCTTGCCGAGGGCTCACTAACCTGTTGCCGAGTTTCATTTTACCTACTTTGTCACCACCGTGTGGCAAATGCTTGAATTAGTCTCTTACAGCATATTCTAAAGCTGATTACTGGTAATCTCGCTAATTAACACCATCTAATAAGCACAAAGAAAAGAAGGATAGAGAGCTATTATCCAGGAGATAAAGAACATACATAAGACGATGTTGTAACCTGCTACTTGAGCAGTTCTTCCCCAGAGTAACTCAGGGCTCAGGCATCGAAAAGGAGAGTCCAGGCCCAGTCACTCTGATGTGGTTATATGAGGTTAAAATAGAAGGGAGAAAACTAAAGGAACACTGTTGTTAGAAAGATGTGAAGATTAATTATCACTTGCAGAAGGCATTTGCAATAGTATTTGCACAGCCCAGAAATTTGTCCAGAAATGTATCCAGATCTTGACGATAGCAAACATAGTAAAGTATCACTTTTTTTCTTTTTTTTCCAAGAAATTTCTTTCTCAGGTCTGTGTCTGAGACTAGGACAAGGAAGATGAGAAAGATGGTGAAGATTTTTAATCTTATCACTTTCTGTGGTTTCTTAAAAACAAACAACAACAAAAAAATCCAAACTCCAACAACACAGACAAACCTGGGCAACTAGCACAAAAAATGTCTGCTGCAGAATGAGGATGTGTAGGTTCATTGTCAATTTCACCTGTTTTTACTGTCATTTCTGCAAAGGACAGGAACAGCCTTGGCTGCCCAAGCTCTCCTGCGTGGTGCCAAAGCAGTGCCCCTGCAGGGAGGGGGAATGTGGGTGCAGGGAAGATGCTGCGGCTCCTTAGAAGCTTCCTCCCACAGCAGGCAATTTAGAGCCTAGATATAATTCATCAAATAATCACCAGCCCCCTGAGAGGATATATTTCACTTTGAGCAGGAAAATGGAGCTGTAAAATGTTTAAAATAAATCTTTGCTTTCTATTCACTTCAGGACCTCAAAAACAGCCTTGAGGTTGCTTGGAGCACAAGCCTCGGGATGCTGTGAAGCAGCTCCAGACTGACAGAACCACAGAACCAGATCAGTTGGAAAAGGCCTCTGCGATCGTGGAGTCCAAGCCACGACCAAACACCACCCCGTCAACCAGACCTTGGCACTGAGTGCTTCGCCCTTACACACTTCCCTGGACGGTGACTCCACCTCTTCCCCGGGCGGCCCATTTCAAAGTCTAAAAACTCCTTCTGTGAAGAAATTCCTCCTAATGTCCAACCTAAATCTCCCCTGGTGAAACCTAAGTACTCTTGTCCCGTCGCTGGTTGCCAGGGTCAAGATGCCGGCCCGCACCGGGCTCCGCCCTCCTTTCATGCAGCTGTACAGAGCGACAAGGTCACCCCTCAGCCCCCTTTCCTCTGGGCTAAACACCCCCGGCTCCCTCAGCCGCTCCTCATAGGACTCACACTGCAGACACTTCACCAGCATTTTTTTTCCCTTCTCTGCATTCGTAATCCCACAAATCCTACGAACCTTTAGAACCAGAGTGGGGAAGCGGCGGGCGGCTGGCGCCCGGCCGGGGATGCGGGGCGGTGCTCCCGGCGCGCGGCCCGCCCACCGCCGCGCGGGCTCGCCCCCGAGGCGCCCATTGGCTGGCGAGGCTATAAAAGCGCGTCAGGAGGGGCGGGGCTCTCTTTCGGCTCCGCGCCGCCCGGGCCTCCACACGGCGTTGTCAGCGTGAGTCGGGGCCGCCGGGCGGGGGGGGCGGTGCGGGCGCGTTCCCCACGCTGCGGTAGCACCGGGGGCACTGTGCATCCCAGCGCACAGTGCATCTCGCCACGCCGCCGGGCTGGGCCGGGCCGGGCGGCGGGAAGGCCGAGGCCCGCAGCTTGCAGCGCGGGAGGCGGCCCAAGATGGCGGCCGGGGCGGCCGGACCTCGTGCGCGGCTCCGCAGGGCTGAGCCGCATCCCTGTGCCCGCAGGTTCCCTGTCGTTGCTTCCCAAGGGAAACTCCACAATGTCCGGAGGCCTCGATGTCCTGCAGATGAAGGAGGAGGATGTCCTCAAATTCCTCGCTGCCGGGACCCACCTGGGAGGTACCAACCTCGACTTCCAGATGGAGCAGTACATCTACAAAAGGAAGAGCGATGGTAAACAGGCGGGGTGGGTGGCTCGGGTTGGGCAACTGGGATCTTGGGGGCACAACTGGGAGAAGCAGATAAGTGCTTGTGCTTGCTCTCCTTAGCATGGTTTCTCCATGGCCTTTTACATATCAAACAGTGTTAACTCAAGTAGGATAGAATACTGATTTTGTAACAATTCTACTAGTTCTTGACTGTTTTAATCTTGGAATTTGGTAAATCAGTCACAACTGGTTTGAATAGTTTTGCTAGTTCTTTCTTATATTAACAAAATGGTTCTAGTGTCTTAGTAATG